AGATGCTTTGGGCAGGGATTAAGGTGGCTGCTTTCAGGCCAGGAATGCCCTGGGGCCTCAGTCCCTCTATCCCTCCCCGACCCAGGGCTGATACTGTCTGGAAAGGAGTGTTTGCTGTGGGTGCAGAAGTTGCTGTTTACAAGTGGACTCTTGGGTGTGACGGGGATTCCAGAAAGCAGCTGGGGGATGGGGGGGAGCAGGGGGGAAACGGTTGTTGTTACGGATGATTCTGTTATTAAAGTGAGCTTCTCCATCTCTGCCTTCCCACAGCTGCCCCCTCTCCCCCACCCCCTGGTCCCTGGCTTCTCTCCCTAAAGGACTCTGGGGGGAACAGCTGGTGAGTGAGGGGCTCACTGGGGCCCAAAGCCCTTGGCTAAGGGCCAGGGTGAGGGAGCATGGAAGTCAGGCTTGCTGCCACCTCTCTAGTCTCTTCCTCCCAGGCCTGGCCTTGGAGGGCAGGGAGGGGTCTGTGCCCCGGCTGGGGAGAGGGTGGGCACTGCAATCCTTACTCCTTTGATCTGTCTGAAAGGCCGGGACAGTCAGCTCTCTTCTGGGCCCTGTGACTAGGCCAAAGAGATCGTGTCACCCAGATTTGCTCAGTGATTGGGCTGAACCAGCTGTGTCCCCAGGTTACCCAGACCCCCTTGAGCAGCTGCTCCCCCTCCCTGTCCCTGGCTGCTGCTTACTGCCCCAGCTCTGGTCTTCCTCCCTTCCCCTTCCTCCCTCCCCTCAGCGGCACTGAGGTCACCTCCCTCTGAATCAGGCCTTTGTGGGGGGCGGGGCCACCCGTTGGCAGTTCTGGCGGGAGAAGCCTCCAGTTCGAGTTGGAGCTCCCACCTCCTGCAGCTCCATCTCTACCCAGCATGGCCGGCCTCATGTGTTCCAGACCCAACATCCAACATCCAGGCGTGTCGTGGGACCACCGGAGGAATGTTTGAAACCAGGGCCACCCTGAAGCACCCAGATTGGGGGTTTTCCAGGCCGGGGGGTAGAGCTGAGCACAGAAGCTGTGAGTAGGAGTTGTGGGGCCCGAGGGAGGATGGGGAGGGGGTGGGGGTGCAGCCCCTGGGAGAGGGGCCCCCACTGACACCCAGCAGGGGGAGCTACTGGGGAGCCAGTCTGGGTTGGTTTTCTTCCCATGAGATTGAGGCTGAAAACCCAGACTCTGAAGGGCCAGATTCCTAATTAGGCTCAGATTGGGAGCTGGAGGGGGTACTCTCTCGATTCCCTAGAGGAGAGTGAGGCTGCAGGAAGTTTTCTTTTCACCATAGGAATCTTGAACTTAAACTGGGGTCCTGCTTACAGCACACTCTGCTCCTGGCACCAAGTTTAAGTGTCGACCTCTTCCCTGTGACTCGATAGCGATCCGAGCTGACAGCTTCCTGCCCTCTGCTTGTGGCCCTGCAGATGAAGAGAAGGCCTCTGGGCCTGAGTTGGCCAGACCACCTCGACTGAGGGCAGAAAACTTCTCCCCAAAGCGAGGTTGAGTCACGGTCTGCCTTCATTTCCGGAGCCTCTCCTAAGCCCAGCTGGGGATCCAGAGACAGACGCGCGTGACAGAGCTGTTGCTTTTGGGTGGCTCATCACTTGGAGGGTCTCCTCGAGGTCACGGTGGGACTCAGGCCTCCCTGCCCTGGGATCCACAGAGGCTCAGCTCGAGAGAGTGGCAGCGGTCAGCTCTGTGGTGTGTTTGGGTCCCCACCCTCCTCAACACACATAAAACCACATACATAATCCACTGCCAGTCCCCACGATCTGGGCCTCATGGATGTGTTTTTACTTTTGTTGTTTTAGGAAGAGAGATTCTCCTAAACCGTCTTCGCCCTGAGTTTGGTTTTTGCTGTTGTGTTGGGAGCACAAAGACTCTGGCTCTTCTCAGCTTTAGCTCTCTCCCTTTCTGGCCCCTGGAGACCGACCTGTTCACCCCACTCCTTTCCTTCGCCCTCCCAACTTTGTCTCTCCCATCCCCCAGCACTCCTTCTGCAACCCCAACCCCACTATTCCCGGGGAGCGTCTGCAGGGAAGAAATGGTGAGGGGATTGAGGGAAGGCGAGGAAACCGTGGGGACAGTGGGAGCCTCTGACTCAAAGGATCTGAGCTGTGCTGGGGGAAGGGTGGAACTCGAATGGCGGAGGTAACCTGAGGCCTTTTTTGGTTGTAACCCCTATTTATGTATGTGGGAAGGGGAGGATATTTCCTGAATTTTTTTCATTTTTTTCCAAGCCTGTCCATTTCTAAAAATATCAAACACGATAATGTCATGAGGCATATGAAGTTCTACTTGATACATTTTTTATGATGTTAAAATAACAAAGGACTTTAGATTGTTGTGGAATGTTTAAAAATAAGTGTTACAAGTTTTTCCTTTTCCTGCACTTTCCAGAAGCCCCCTTTCCCAGTGTCACATAAACACGGGCACACACTGTCTCTTACTTGCAAAGAAATGGTTCTCTCCTTTTGCAGTTGCCCCTTTCTCCCTCTAGGGTGGGGAGGGGTTGGGGAGGAAGAGGGCCCTGAGTGCAGCCAGGCTGGGGCTGCACTTTCAGATCTGTGGATGCCCCTACTGCCCCGACCCCACAGGGAGGAGCCTGGGACTCAGAGTCCCTTACAGGTGAACAGACAGTAGCAGCAGGCTATGAGGCAGGACTTTGCATCGTGTCTCTGTCAGGATGTGATCATGAAAATCCTCCATTTACCGAGTTCATGCAAGATACTCTATACATGATCTCATTTCATCCTCCAACAACCACGTGGGCTAAGTATTCTTACGCCCATTTTATAGGTGAGGAAACAGAGTTTGTAGAGTCAGGATTCTAACCCGGATCCGTCCACGTGCAAAGCTCCAGGAGCCCTGGGACTGTATGGAGCTTACAGAATACAAGGAGCTTACGGTACAACTTGTGTGTGTACAGAGAGGCCTCATGGGAAGGAGGAAAAGGAGGCCTGTCCAGTGTGCATTGTGAACCGGCGTGTATGTCTTGGGAAGCATCCTTTGCCTCCAGTAACTGCTTCCTCAACCCAGGCCGGTAGCCCCGCTCCCCATAAAGTTGTTAGGAGACTCAGATGTAGGAGTGCATGAGAAGGTGCCAACACACTGCTCAGCACGCAGGGTACACGCGGTGTATGTGAGCGTAACTCCTGCCCTTTGGTTTCCTTAGCTCGAATACAGGTGTTGACAGTAACATTC